AAGGAAGGAAGGAAGGAAGGAATGTATGGATGGAAGGAAGGAAGGAAGGAAGGAAGGAAAGAAAGAAAGAAAGAAAGAAAGAAAGAAAGAAAGAAAGAAAGAAAGAAAGAAAGAAAGAAAGAAAGAAAGAAAGAAAGAAAGAAAGAAAGAAAGGAAGGAAGGAAGGAAGAGAAAGCCAGGCATGGCCTAGCCAGTTTGGTTTGGTGGATAGAGCATCAGCCTGGGGACTGAAGGGTCCCGGGTTCGATTCTGGTCAGGGCACATGCCTGGGTTGCAGGCTTGATCCCTAGGGGGGCGTGCAGGAGGCAGCCAATCAATGATTTTCTCTCATCATTGATGTTTCTCTCTCTCCCTCTCCCTTCCTCTCTGAAATCAGTAAAAACGTGTATTTTTTACATTGGCCTGCTATACTTGGTCAAACATTTAACTCACCGCTAATGCCTTGGCAGGGCCAGACCAAGAGATTTCTCAGAGCTTATACAGCCCACGGGCCGGACGCCCCCCACCCTGTTAGATGCTCCAGGAAGAGACTGGAGCTCCACGCTTCCTGCCCGCCCGCACCTGTGCTGGTGTAGTGGACCTTCCAGCCTGTGTGTTCCCCCGAGTGGTCAGTAACAAAGGTCACGGTCACAGCGTTGCTCTTAGTTTCAATCCTGCTGGGCAATGTCTTCCCACAGAATGGGCCGAATTCCTTCTTGTCTGTCTGAATCTGAAAGAAGGGGAGCCCCGGTCAGCCCAGGACCTGCAGGGGTCAGGATGAGGTGGGGGCCCGGGAACCAGACCTTGAGGGAGTCGTAGGGGCACTGGGTTTCGGGGTGCGTCTCCACGTCGAAGGACTCCACGAAGTCCAGGATGACACTGAACCCCTCCTCCAGGCGGATGCTGTAGGTGCAGCTGGAGAGTTTGGGGTACGGCTGTGGGTATTCCGGGCTGCTGATCACCCCAGACCGCTCGGTGAAGACCTGGCCTGAGCACAGAGCTGGGAAGAGGGGAGAGGGCGTGAGCCTGGGCTGGCGGCGTGACCGCCACACGCACTGGTCTGGGTCGCGGCCCTGCACCTGGCCCGCCCCAGAGGCCCCTCAGGCCAAGGACCCCACCCAGCAGCTGAAGGGACAATTTAGGGAGGCGTGTCTCTAGCGCCCAGACTTGAGCTAAAATAGGCGACACACGCATGTACATCTTCCAGGGAGCCCCTCACACCCCGGAGGGGGTGGAGGTGGGAGTCCTGGGCCAGGGTCAGAGGGGAGTGGGTGAGGGCAGCTCCTCTGAGGGCAGAGGCACCGGAGAAGGGAGGAGGGGCTCTTCTCATTCCTCAAGAATTAGGGGGGCGGGGGGACCAGCTAGTCTTCTTGGCTGAGGGACCCAGACCCACCCTGACCCCAGCAACCTCCACGTTCATCCACCAGGGGGCTCCCACCACACCCAGCCCGGGCCCTGGGTGTCCGCCTGGACGGGTCAGGAGGTCAGGAAGGGCCTCCCTGGGCCCACCTGCCCTGGGTCTGGGCTCGGCCCTGGGGCAGGTGAGGGACGCTCAGATCCACTGGTTCAGCCTGCACAGCACCCCGCCATGCATGGGAGGCACAGAGGGGGGCGCAGGCCTTAGAGCGGGCGGAGGGGGCTTCTAAAAAGAGGAGTCCCAGCTCCTCCTTCCTTTCTCCCTGTGGCTGTCCCCCCCCCCACACACACACACACACACACACAAGGGCAGAGGGAACGGCCCCTGGACATGGGGACCAGACTGCCCACCAATGACACCTCCTTGGGCCTCTGCTCTGGGCCAGGCTCCCCAGCCCAGTACAGCTGTGCTGCCCTCAGAGCAGGAGGGGGTCCAGAGGCTCAGAGCTCAGCCCCTGGGGACCTGGTGGGGAGCAGAAAGCACCGTTCCCCTGTGGCTCAGGCGAGTCTCCGCCCCTCTCGGCCTCTTCAAAATGGGGATGGGGAGCCCTAACCGGTTTGGCTCAGTGGATAGAGCTTCAGCCTGTGGACTGAAGGGTCCCAGGTTTGATTCTGGTCAAGGGCATGTACCTTGGTTGTGGGCACATCCCCAGTAGGGAGTGTGCAGGAGGCAGCTGGTTGATGTTTCTCTCTCATCAATGTTTCTAGCTCTCTATCCCTCTCCCTTCCTCTCTGTAAAATATCAATAAAATATATATATATTTTAAATGGGGGTGGGGAGCCCTTCCAGCAAGAAAGCCAGGAAGCTCCTCCCGACTGCGATGAGGGGAGGGAGGGAGGGAAGAGAGGGACCAGACGCACACCACAGCCCACCCCCTCCCCGACCCCCCAACCCCCCACCCCGCCCCAGAGACACGCAGCCACGGGTGGAGGTGGACCAGGTTTATTGTTAGCTCCGTGGGGGTGAATGGGGGCTGCAGGCAGCCGCAGTCTCGCCGGGCACAGAGCTGCAGCCAGCGGGCTCTGCGGGCGGAGCGGAGGGAGGCTAGAGGCTCTGCTCTGGAAGAGAGAGTGAGGGCAGGAGAGACACAGGGAGAGACACAGGGAGAGACATGAGGGGGAGGCAGGGTCAGGTCAGCCCTGGGGTTGGGGGGCTCCCCACTCCCCAGGGCACCAGCTGGTTTCCTGTCCAGGTGTCGGCCAGGGCACAGGGCGCATCCTCAGGCAGTGGGGCCACGGAGTCCGGTGAGTCCGGTGGGCGTGCTGGGGCCCGGGAATGGGTGGCTTTGAGCAGGCCCCGCCCCCCATCCTGAAGTCTTGGGGGGGGAACTGGGGTGAGCGGGCCTAGACCCCCCTCCTCCACACTGGGAGCCTCCTCTGGAAGGTGAGGGAGCTGAACGGGGTCCCAGAGCCCAGCTGGGCCAGGTGCACCGTGGGGGCCTAAACCAGTGGATGAGCCAGGGAATGAGAGTGAGGCCAGGATGGGAGGGAGGAGGGAGGACTTAGAGGATGGGGGGATGGAGGGAGGAATGGAGTGAGGGGACAGAGAAGCAGAGCAGGGTTGCAGCCTCTGGACCCCGGGGCAGAACAGCCATGGCTTTAAGAAGGGTGGAGCTGGGCGGCCCAGGGCGCCCTGGGGCCATGGCTCACCTGAGCAGGTGCGCCTGTTCTGGAGTAGCACGTAGCCCTCCCGGCAGGAGCAATTTAAGCCACCCAGGGGGTTGTGGCAGTGTTG